CAGCAATGACCAGCGCTGGTAATGGTTTTCATACTTCGGTGACAAGTCATTGTTTGACCCAACCTGACTCGTTTCCACCCTTCACGTGATTGGGTCCACTGGCATACGGAGCACGTGACCAAATGAGCGTAATCCAATGAGTGTGATCAGTTCGTCTATCGTTGGCCATTTATTTCTTCCGAGAACCATACATCAGTGTTACTGACCCAATGTTCCCGCCAAACTCAGACCATGCTCCGAAGACGAAAAATGGCTTGAATGACAAAAATATTTGGACGCTTGACATCAGTAGACCCGTTGGCTTCAGATTTCACCTGGCAGGGAAACATTCACTCCGAATTGTACGCTCGTAGTATAGATCCATAATTCTCGCAAAAAACTGAACCAGGGGTGATTTAAACCCTCGTCCCACAATAATACGGATAGCCGCCTAGTCACCTGACACCTGACTAATTTGGTGGATGAGTGTACCAAAAATCGCCCGAACGTTCACTAAGCTTTAAGCGAGATGCTTGGTCCGTCTGATGTGGTATTGACTGGGACATCCATGAACTGTGTGGCGACTACTTGCCTTCCGAGTGCTTGCACGTTCGTTTGGCGCGAGCGGGTCAACCCTGGCTCACCACAATCGGTTCCGCACCATCATTGGCCCAAAATTCAAGTTTCGCAACATTGGCCTGGTGATGATTCGTGAGCTTGCATTCTCCCCATGCTTTGTATGTTCATCTGTGTTTGCTTTTTTATGCCTGTGTGTATGTATTTATGTGATAATAAGAAACCGTTGCACCGAACTAGTCAGTTTGTATCTTTTCTCTATTCAGATATTTTCCCAGTAGGTATGAGTGCTCTCCATCATTGTATCGTTTCTATCCATTATCTTGTGTCCAGCGAAGAAAAAAAGAACTTTTACGCGCTAGACAGATCTTTTCGGTTTCGTTAATTAGCCTAATGAGTTTCTTTGTGCTCCAGGTCAACCAGTCATCTGTTGTCTTTCCACAATCCTAAGAATGCCGCACCCAAACCAACGATAATTCAAAACACATATTTTCGCCCAGTGGTTTCATGGAACCAGTTCATTAATCAGGTGTTTCTCAGGTGTGTTTTCTCCCAACTGTTTCCGCTTTGTCAGTGATGTGTTTTCCCCTCACGTGATTGAAATCTGCATTAGGTCTTGAGTACACTGTCACCAAGGTAACCATGTGAGATCAAACGACTTGGGTTGTCAGGTTGATTCAGCTCTTGAGAGGAGTTGTGTACTGAGAACGGACTGCTCTCATTGTTTACTGAATTCTCAGTCCTCTGTCCCACCAAACGTAATACAAATCTCGTGTTAGAATTTTTCTTTTATCACATCAAATCACACTATTGATGTTTCTTTGGCTATGTACTTTCTGGCTTTAGGTGCTTTACTTCCTGTCACTCTACCGTTAGAAATTAACTAATGGCGGATAGACAATGCGCCGCTTTTATTCCTTGGTTCATTGTTTTAATAAATGCTGGGCAAATTCTCAGTGTGCTATTCAAGATGGATTGTTTATAGGACCAGAGATCCTGATATCGGTTCGTACTTTCTATCTATCTATCCCCTGCTGTCTTAATTTGAGAGGTTGTGCATAGTTTAGGTATTTGTTTTTGCGCACAGTTGCACAAGAGTGCTATGAGACATCGTGTAAAAAGGTAACGAGCTGTAGAACCTCACAGGCTACTCTCAGAGAGCTGATAGGTAAACTGAGAACGCCGTGCGCAGTAAACCATCCTTCCCGTGTGCGTACAATGCTTTACGCTTGTGCCTGTTGTGTATCTCACCCTGCGGCTCGAGCGGTTTGTGAGTTAGACGTTTGTACCCCTTTAGTAGATCTCTAACTAGTGTCAATTTAAGCCATACTGAACTTGGTTCGTCATTTTTCCACTGAACTTTGCTTTCTTTCGCAGAACAATGTGTATATAGAACTCCAAATCTCCTTCCGTGTCTCCAAAATTTTCAGCTCTAAAAACGCTTGTTTCGGACCGCTCTGCCTTTTCAGCTATTTGGGGGTGGTTTCACGAATATAGGTAAATTTTTCAGGCCAATGTGTGTCAATGTCTAATAGCATCTGTTTGAAAACATTAGGATCCTTCCATCTAATTCTTGGGCATTTTGACCTTTGGGTGTTAGCATTTCATCTTCATCTCGTCATCTGTACCAGGGAGGACGTCTTGGATAGGAACGGAACAGTGTGGAACGGAGTCAGCAATTCTTTGAGGCGACTTGCAAGCCGGTAGTTTTTTGTCGTTCGTGCACTGATTGATCGACCTTGTCTCACTGAAAGCCAACAATTTGGAGTTTATATCGCCGAGTAGACTTCCGAATGCTTTATTGGGATAACTCTGGGACCAGTGGATAGAATTTACCTATTGACCTGATGGGACAGGTTTTTGGGCCTCAATTCGTAGGCCATCATCATTCGACCCGCACTGACGATGTCACCTCGATTGATGATGAAACGTTTGCGATCCAATTGCCAAGCTCGGCGAACAGACCAACAGCCAAACAGTACCATATCAGTATATATTTCAGAAGAGCATTGCGTTACGTAACAGCGTATTGATGCGTTATTCCAACAAGTATTCACTTGGGATTTGCACGCACTAATTTACAGTAGCCGACCGTCCCGATGAGGTGAGTCGGCTCCACACATGTCCTGGATCGCACCTGTGCAAACTTGGCGGCCCAGATTTGTCTTTGCTGTGACTGCTGCCTGGATTTTTGTACAAATTAGCTGTGTTAACTTTCTTCAAGGCAGTCAGTCTACTCACCGGCTTTCTGTTTTCCAGCTTTCTTTCTCATTTGCTTTCTTCTGCCCTTACACTGGGCGAATTTCGAAGCCCCCAATAGGGGCTTTTTGCTTCTCTATGTGGGTAGACTTGCATAGTTTTCTTCATCCCATTCTTGCCGTTTGTACACAAGTTGCCTGTGAACCTGAATACGAGCCAAATACCAGCCGATGCATCTAAACTATATTACCGTCAATATGCATGTCTACAAGAAGATGCTAACTTGGACAATATATTCGTATTCTCCCTCGTATCTCAAAATGATCGGACTCTCAAGAAATGTAACTTATTATATGACATCACCTTGGTAACAGCGAGAGGGAAAAGGATACCATCAGTTCGTCTGACACTGCTTTTTGCCTAATGTGTGCCACTTTCAGCCTTCCATTAGCACCTCGTGCAGACGCGGTCATTTTCGTTAGCCGAACTGGAATAGACGTGAGTGCTATGGCGTAAAACAACCTAGTCTGGCAAACATCCTGATGTTGCTGTAAGGTCTCGAAATGTGGTGCGTGCGCGTAGTTTGCATCGGGTGCTCTAGATGAACAGGTCAATGGCGTTAACCAACTGGGTATGGCAACTTTTGGCCCCCTATTCTAGAGTCTTATTGCCACCTTGTTTGAAGATCAAGACACATTCGAATGACCGCAGCATTTGTGCAGTGTGACCTTGACTACTTATGGATATCCGGTACTTTTGAAGGCGCTACATATGACAATCAAGTCGACATTTGCGTGTATTATTGGAAAGCCGGTGGAGAGCTTTTTTGGAGCATATCGATCTAACCATGTCAGGAAACTGGTTAGGCAGCGCTCCTTGTCGTCTGTCAGCGATTGCCGTTGTGATTCTTCATTTCCCCGGTGTACATCCATCCCGTTTTTGTCCACCTTCAGCTCAACGCGTTTGGCGTTTCATTTGCGACAGACTTGTTTTGCTCAAAGGATGGCTTGAATTAGTTCATAGAAGTTTAGTTGGACATAGACTTATGTGCGGTGTAGTAACCTCATCTTAATCATTTCTACTTTCAATCTATTCATCGACCCGAATGGTTAGCTGCTCTAACAGTCGGTCATATTGTTTCGTCTCCCGGACTATTGGAGGGTTTCNCCAATCGATTTTTGATAAACGTTTGTAGGGAAATACCGAACGGTTTGGTTCACTTTGACAAATCATTCGAGCTTTACCCACGTGATTTGCGAGATTGGTGTCACGGGTCCCATTAATCACAGCGCACAGCACATTTCGTTCCTGGACTGTGCTGGATTTGACTGCCAAGTACAGTTCCTAAGGCAACAGTACAGTTTTCGTGCGATCTGCTCAGAGGACGCTTTTTGAGCTTCCTGTCTGTTGGGGACAGAACCTTATCAACAGTTTGTTGCGCTATGAAGGATGATCGCTCTGACCAGTATGTATGCATGATTCGTATAAAATTCGCTCTGTGTACGCACACACTGCCTTTTGTTGCAAGGGTGTTTGTTGATAAAATGACAGCACTTGAGGTGTCTAATGAGATTTTCAAGAAAAGTGGTCGTATTAATGCATCAATGCTTTAAATTGCACGCCGTCAAATGGAGGTGTTCCCATTTCCTGTCCTACCAACTAACCCTGAGCTAATGGTGCACTTAAAACACGCAATGCTAAACGATGTTTTTCGCTGCCCTAAGCAGAACCTGGTGCGTGTGGTTCGTAGTAACGCTTGTGTCTTCCCGGCAGCGTAATCCGTGTCTAAATAAGCGTAGGAATTTCTATTGCTTTCATCAATTGCGTTCTGTGAATGTGTTATCGATTCTACTCCCCGCCTCCTGCTGTCTTAACATTCTCTCCTCTGCTCGGACGGACCGGACCAAACCACGTATACAAAACCCCCTTGGTGTGTCTGAATATTTTCTTTCGTTCCTCATTGAAGAGTGGTGTCAGTCTTCTGCAATCCGCATCTAACTTTATCGGAGTTTTCCTGAGGGTCGTTTACGATGTCCTGTGTTTAGACTTAGCTGAAGAAAAAAATCGATAACGACCTCTTGTTTCAGTAACTGAGTTCGTATCCTGCAACATGCAGTTCGATCGGGTGGAACGTTTGTGTGCTAGTTATTGATTCTTTCGCCGCTGATTTAAGAATGCAAAGGTTTCTATATTTGGAACAAAAACTGTCTTAAACTATCCGTATTTTAATGTTTATGCGATTTCAGATCAAGTGCCGAACGATCTTCGAGAAGCATTTGCCCTCTTTGACGTCAATCGGGACGGGCGGATAACGGCCTCTGAGTTGGAATCTGTGCTGAATTTCTTGGGTATGCGGACCACACGAGCCGAGGTCAGTCAAATGATCAAGGATGCGGACTGTGATGGTAAGTGTGGGTGTGTGTAGTCATGTTGGTCCTTCCGTGAATCTAACCCTCATATAACTAAACCTCGATTCTCTTATTCTCAAGTACTATTTTCGCCTGTTAGTCGCGGACGTTCCCCCTCTCCTATTCCTTTATCGATACAACAATAGACTCATGCATGTGATACAATTGGGAGTCTCTGATCCTTGCGATAGATCTACAGTCTTCGATAAACGACGCACACAGAGAGATAAGGCAGATGTCAGTCACACTGTGGGCACAAAGTTTGCACCACTCGGAACGTGCATTCACCTACTTGTGTGCTTGATTACTCCGTTATTCTAGACCTACCAGCTGACCGACTAACATCTTTTGAAGATCGACAAGGGCTGAAATTCAATACCAGAATATTGGACTTATTGTTGCCACAGCCCACTCAATCACATGGTTGTAAAATAGTCCGAAATTCAAAGTGATTTCTCTTAGTATAATTTACCAACAAATGAATCGTGTGGGTTGAGACAGTAATCTGTGCGAACAAGTGTTTCAGATGCTGTGTGGTACTGCGACAAACAGTGGAATCTGCTAACCAAAGGGATATGCCACCAGTCTGATTACATTCACTTGGTGAGTACCAGTCAAGACGACGTAATGTACCGCGTACCCAGTGAACATATGCGTCTGTGGCTGAAGATAGCTCAGTGCTTAAGACGTGAACTTACTGCCCGGAAGGTGTGAAGCTAGCCTCTGGTTTTCGACTGCTCCTACCTAGGCTTGGATAACCAGGCAGTTTGCTCAGCCATCGTCAGATCCTTCGGGTAGCTATGCACCGAAGAGTTGGTATAGCTGGACGATTTCTTCTATTTTTCCGTAGCACAACAGTCAATTAAATTCTTGGTATGTATTACACTTGAATATCAGGGTGTTTGTGCGTTTGCGCATCTATTCTGTGGGATCACGCCGTCGATTTGATTCCACTGAGCAGAATCCGGACGCCAATTTCGAACACCCACCATGTTTTTGTCCTCGAAACGAAGTATTGTTGAGGATGATTGTGCCCATTCTTTGGTTGAACACACGTTCGAGTTTTGGAACTCAAATAAATTAGTTGATCTATCGAATATACACCCATTTGCAAACTAATTTGGTTTTTCGAGAGACTCATCTAGAACCCGGCTGATGTTTCTGAGCAACTAGATGTTCTGCAGCAAGCCGCCTCATGTTTCAGTCGCTACGACATTCGAGATATCGCGATACATGTATATCTTTGTAATGTACTACTCATAAGGTTGCTGAAAACCCGTCGACAGCCCACGACCGGTTCCGCCCTTTTTGGGGCTCATCAGGTAGGCGCAGTCCCCGGGTTTCCGTCAACCTTATGTTTTACTTGAAACCGAATTGCACGAAATCAGCGAATATACACTCATTTGCACACTAATTTGGGGCGAAACCGGTCATAAGCTGTCGACGGATTTTCAGCAACCTTACAAAGATATACATGTATCGCGATAGTTGATCTATTCTTCAGACAACAGAGCTTCTGAATTTTAACGGTACACGGAGTTGCAAAGGTAAGGTTTGGTATACCAATAGTCAGTCTACGGATGAAAATGTCGGATGGTCTAGTGGGCCATGTCTAGTTTACATTCGTTACTTGGTAACAGTCATCCGGCCGGACTTAATTTTCCGATCAAGTTGATTCAGCAGTCCACTGATCTGCCAGTCAATAGTTAGATGGACTTCATCCTGCATCCTACTGACGGTTCACACGTAAATCATGTGTCTGGTTTACAACAGTTTTAGTATGATGACACCTTAACACAGGATACAATCCAGGCCTCTCCTGTGATCACTTCATCTATGGACTTCTTTGTCTGACGTGACAAGTGGCCCACCGTGTGCTCTTAGGTGACGGATGAATTGTGGCTACGTGCAGTCTTTTTCTTCGGATTGTATTCCAGTTGCCAGACTTTGTTGTCTCCCTCCTCATTCGCACTACAGCATGCGGTGGATGACAGCGGTTGAAGCTTTGGTACCAACATAATCACACCAGCCAGTTCGATATTCGTTCAGCTGTAGCATTCTTTCGGTGCCTAGCTGCCATGCCACACGAAGGAGGCACGAGGGCTGGGATACTGCCAGATTGCCCAAGTCTAGACAGGGGAAGTCGAGAGGCAGAGGTCGGGTTCGAACCACGGACCCTGCGGTCAGTAAGTTCGCGCTCTAACCACTTGAACCATCTCGCCCCCGTGCCAGTTCGATATCCTCATAATCCTTTCAAAATCAAGTTTTCTTCCAGCTTTTGATGATCGGTTCAGTAACGTGAGCCGAGGCCTGGTGAGCAGAGAGGCTATCGCACGCAAGTTTCTTTATATCGTAAACCATTAGACAACGTGGTAGAGCACTCATAAGTTTTCTCTATTCATCGAACATGATTCGACCATCATCGTTTTCGCCACTCATTGTATGGGGAAGTTCAGGAATCACTTTCCTGGTGGGAGCTAATTCACATCCTTGAGGACCAGTGATATTTGTGACACTTAGCCAGGACACACTAGGTGAAAAAACCGGTGCGTCTGTGGTTCGGAACGATGATCTTTTCGGTCGTTTTTGTTAGGGTTCGGGTTACTTAGCAGTATATCAACCCACACGATGTGTTATCGCGTCCTGGCATTTGCGTTGTTACANCCTCTCTCTCTCTCTCTCGAAAAAAAAACAAATTAGTTTGCAAATAAGTGCACATATTGTTTGATTTTCTATGTCCGCGTTCAGGTCACCCTGCTGAAATGTTTTTGATCATGACATTGTCTAAATATACTAGAACGTCTTAACATTCTAACACGCCTAAGATTGGGTTGTGAGTTCCACACACACGTAACTTGCTGTACGCCTTGGTTGTTCTCTAAGCATTCGTTTTCTCTCCAAACTCACTCGATCTGACTCCGTTCGCAGGCAACGGAAGTGTCGATTTCGAAGAATTTCTCCGAATGATGCGTCGATACTCTCAACGAGAACGATCCAAATCACCTGACGCCGAACTCCGCGAAGCATTTAATGTAAGCGTTGTAAATTATGCGCGTAGCTTAAACTTTTTGACGCTTGCTATGGGGTTCTGTTTTCCTTTTTTCAATCAGAGTACAACTCGTTTGCTAAGGTTCGCTTTGTCAAGTCCTTTTCAATGGACATGAAACTCTTACGCAGTTAGGATTTAGCTTTATCTGGTCAATCCGAGGAGATCCGGTCGACCCCAACCAGTAGTGTTTGTTAGATTTATTCGCAAATATCGCTTCTGAAAAAAAAACGCAAACAGAACGCAACGTTCAATTTAGTTTAGTTCTTCGGCGATTTTTTTACACCAAACTGTGTGCCGTCTTTTAGGACAATCATACGATACTACTAGATTCCATATGTTTACTGATATTAAGTGCTTTTGAAACTATCATAAATTGCTCATCAATGATACACTGGATGTTCCGCTTGGGTCTGTGGTGGGTGGTTTATTGCTAAAGTGAACTGGTCATTGGCGTGAACCACTTGGATTCGGTTTACGTGAACTATGCAATTAACATTTCAGCAGGTTTTCAACAATTCCATGACGGCTTGCGCTTATAAACTTGAAACATTGAATTTTTTGGTAGCACCAAGTCTTGTGCGGCTAAATCAATTTCTGGCTAGGTGGATGATCTGGACCCATTAGCCGCGCAATGATCTTGGCTGCAAAACCTTCACGAGTGGAGTAAAACGTTTTTCGCCAAAATGTTGCATTTCGTTGCGTATGTGCTCGAACCAAAAACCATCGTAATCCACATTGACATCTTTGCTGGCCAGTTGCTCGCGCCAACCGCAACTGGGCACAAAGCGCCGGCTGCACGTCTTCGACGAACTGGTTGGACAGCAACTGGTGGCGCGACACTCCGTCCAGCCCCGGCTAAGCGCGATCCAACTACTGCTGAGGGCCGACGAAGAACACGTTCGGGTCAGATCCAGGTGCCAACCTGGCCGTCTTGAACCGCCTCATAGCTTCTTGGCAGTCGTCCGGCGTGTCGAACTCCGCTGCAAGGATTTCCTTGGCGGCGGTCGAGTCCATCTTCTCAAGGTCTCTTCTGGCCGCATCCAGGGCCGCCTTCGCCCGGCTCCTGAGGAGGGTCCTCAGCGCCGCCAACTTACCCCGGTCGGTCTCCAGTCCGGCAGCCTTCGCAACCTCCTCAGAGTTTTCCAGGACGGTCCGAACGTCGCCATCCTTAAAGGGTTGTGGCCACCGGATCTTTCATCCTTATCCTGGTCACGACACCAAATGAAAGGAAGAAGGCCTTCGCTGCGGTGTTACTTATTAGAAAATGCCAACTAACCGGTTACGGACTATTGGACAGGGAAGCAAAACTCTCATTTGCATCTTATTCACAAAAACTGGACATCCATCTTCTCTTGAACACATCTTCCCGAACTTTCCGGGATATTTATTGACTCCAATCATTCATTGCTCAAATCCAAGCAAACGCAACAAAGAGACTCCTCAATATCCGCAACAGATCTCCCCTTTTCAAGAGACGCAATGCGGATTTTCAAGAACAACACATACTACTCGCATATCTCTCCACCAGTAGTCTCACCGTTACACTGGTGCTGTGAACTCAATTGCCCGATCGCTTTGGTCCATCAGTGACACGTCATAGCTTCTAAAAATTCAATTCCATTGTGCGAATACTGAGCGCCGATCTGAGTAAACACCTATAGCGCACTCACTATCTGTTAATTTGTTCCGATTAGAGTGCAGTTCCAGGTTTGGGTTGCGCCGCCGAATTCCGAAGGCCAACTCTGTGACCTATTCCAAAGACGCGCCATACAATTCGTTGTGAGTTGTGTTCCGCCAGTTGAGTGGCTCGTAACGGCTTTTCTGAAGACCTGCAGATATCACCTGAGAAAAATGACGGGTCCCTCTTTAATGCAAAGGCAGTTACAAGCCATCACGGGCGATTGGGTGGAAGGTGTATTTTCGGACTTGTTCGAAAACTCCATCCTTGTGACAGGAGCAATCACGTGTAATTGAACATTTGGAGATTTGTGGTTTGGTATTATCAGGAAGGTCAGATTCCTGATTGTAGCCTCAGAACACCCGGAACATACTGCTCCACCAAAATCCCAACAGGAAATCCAGCAAGCATCCAGGCCAGTCAATCATTCAATCAATTCAGCAAAAGTTGGTGAGTGTTCATGCACGCCACAGAAGAACGCCCGAATGTAATCAGCGTTCAGGCATTTCATAGAGGCACGATCGATGTTGATGAGTGTTTACTAACGCCTATCAAACAGCCTGGAAGAATGTCAGAAAGTCTCCTTGAAATATCGTGGGGCTGTTGTAACTTTTGCTCTCGCACTCGCACGCACTCACGCTCTCGCACTCGTTTGTTCGGAATATAGCGGTTGTGTTCTCTTCTGTGAGTCTTTTTTCTCCGGCACCAGGCACTGGAGTGGGTTAGCAGCAGATACCACAGGTCGGCGAATCAGCAGATATAACAGATTGGCGACGGGAATGGGATGTAGGTGGTCTGGTATAATTGTCCTTGAATGACAGACACATTGTGCGACAGTTCTTTTTTTTGACAGTGCTAACTGAATCTGAGTGCAGTTTGCCGTATGGGTTAACGAGACTCAAACCTTCACCATTTGCGATCGACGTCTTCTGAAAGAATTTTTCTTCGTGAGCGGTTTCCGCTCATCTTCTTTCAAGAACCGTTCGTTGCAAGATGATATTTGAAAGCCTGGCAGCAGAACATGCAGACTTTCCGCCCAGCTGAACTTCGTGAGACATTGATAAACACGGGTGAATATTTGACAGATGCACTCATCCGCATATCAGTTTGGTTTATACAAAAGACTCAACTGAATCTCTCCTATATGAAATCCTTCAACTGAATGTGTTGCACAAAAACGCCTCCGTTGGTAAGGTATTCGAAATACCGCAGTACATTTTCATAAGGGAGACTACTCACAAGTTTTCAGTAACCTTTTGAGTAGTTTCCTTTAGAAATGAGTATTACTCAAAGTATAAAATACTACAGGTGTGACTACAGGTGAAGAAACGTCCTGGAATTCGATAATTACTCCCATTTGTTTGCGAATCCGGTTTTGATGGGGAAATTTTTCGGCAACCCTATGATGAGTAGTGTGTTACGTCCGAAAATTTGGGATATTTTTCGACTTGTTCTCCACTTTCAAAAACTGTCAGCTAAGGTCGAACCGGTTGGAGTATAGTTATCGATGCAACGCGCGTGGTTAGGGGTTCCCTGTTGATCTCTGAAGCGCCTCCTTGTCCATATTGTATCCGTTTTCGTGTGGACATTGTTTAGCTTACATAATCAATAGACTAAGGTGTCAACGTGGACTGCTGTTATGAGCTTCACAGCTCTTGCCTGCCATTCTCAAGTGTGTGTATAGTCATGTGTTGCGATTCGCTCGCGCTACGACAAAAAAAACCAAGCGTACGATCTTGCGTGACATGCAAGGTAAATCAGCTGACTCTACATACAGATACGTCACATGTGTGTACATTCACAGTCACACTGCGTGCTTGTTTCGCCGTTGCCAGTGCTTCGGCTGCCATGCGTGAGGAGCGTACTTCATAGTGCTGATCTACGACGCATCGACTACCAGCTTTCTTACGTAGAATTCATGTGCACCGAACAATGGATAGTTTTCGAGAAATACACTCATTTGCAAATCACCCTGGTCTTCACGAGAGACTCAACTGATTCTCTCGCTTAGGATATTCAACAAACAAATGCTTCGCACACAGATCGCCTCATGATTCAGTTGGCACGATATTCGAGTTATCGCAGTATATTTTCATAAAGGAAACTACTCACAAGGTTGCTGAAAACTCTTCAGCAGCCTTATGAGTAGCTTCTTTTATGAAAATGGGCAATTTTATTGCAGATTGATTGAGTTCTGCTCACTCATAGCTCCAAGCGTCTTATTTTCACCCGTATAGCAGTTCTCCTTCCGTCCGTGGACGCTTTTAATGGTATGGATGGTAAATGAGCATAAATGAAACTGATAGTTTTCAAAACGATTTAAAAACAAAAGACAGAGTGCAACCGGACAGTTCGGATCAATGCTGAAAGATCGGAATCATTCCTGAAGTGTCATGCATCAATCATCCAATGGTGATTAGTTTGGTACGGCAGTGAAGCATCGATGTTAAACAGTGATGACATGCTGTCGATGACAATGATGATGATACTTAGTTTGCCGCTGTAGGTAGTCACCGTACGAATGTGTTGCTCAGATGGAAACGGCACAACGGTAACGAATATACACTCATTTGCAAACTAATTTGGTTTTTCGAGAGACTCACCTGGAACCCAGCTGAACATCTCGTTTGTGATGTTTTCAGGCAACTGAATGTGCTGCACCAGGTCGCCCCATGTTTCAGTCGCTACGAAAAACCAAACTAGTTTGCAAATGAGTGTATATTCGTTACCGTTGTGCCGTTTCCATCTGAGCAACACATTCGTACGGTGACTACCTACAGCGGCAAACTAAGTATCATCATCATAAAGTTGACGGAAACCCAGGGACTGCGCCTACTTGATGAGCTCCAAAAAGGGTGAAACCGGTCGTGGGTTGTCGACGGATTTCCAGCAACCTTATGAGTAGTACATTACAGACGGTAACTTTGCTGGTTATCTTTCTCGGAGTTAGATGCAATAGGCCTATATATGAGGCAACCTTTGAACAATATAGAGCAGTTAGTTAGGATATAACCTGATCTCGTTGGGAATAAATTTCGGTACTGATTCTATGCATCTGATCTAAGGATCATGTCAGGGTATTCTCCAATGGAGAATTACCAATTACGACTTCGCTGTCCTTGTGGACGAGGTTGCATGGTGCTTCACAATAGCTAACAATTTCATCGCACTCGTTATGTTTTTTATTCTTATTATACCATGCCAACGGACGTTAACCTCATTTTTTTGGAGAAAAAATGACATACCATATTGCATTTTGACTTCGTTCTGAGACGTGGGTTTCCGCTGGGAACATCCGCAATCGTCCATACGTTACCATTTTTTCTCCAAAAACAGGTGTTCGACCACAATCAAGATTCCGTCATCGATTTCGAGGAGATCAAGCGAACAATGCACTTCCTTGGGGAAGCCGTCACTGATGCCGAAGTACACGAAATGATTCGTGAAGCTGATCGGGACAACGATGGCAAGGTAGATTTTGAAGGTGAGTGTTCCTGTAAGCCCAATAAATACGCTGATTTTTATTATTCGGTCGTTTCTGTAGAACCAGCAGAGTGTTTGTGATTGTAATAAGACTATACAGATATATATGGTGATCATGTGCGTCCTGTGGTAAATAGGGAGTTGCATTGGTCAAGAAAGAATTAACTGCACTTTCTGTACAGACCCCTTCCTGCCACTAAACGGCTGAGAGGCGAGAAGCATTGTACACTTGTTTCATCCTTTTTGGGAATCATCAGTATCTCACGAAACACAGAAAGTTTCGAACCCGCGACCTTCTGATCAGTGGCTGATTACTTGACCGTTTAGTCACAAGCAACCGATTACCATTGTGATTGACTCTCGCGTAGACAAGGCGCCACTCATTCTTGAATAGCTTGAACCACATCACATGACCATGTTTTGACTGGTTCCTCTTCCGAGGACGAATCTTCGAAAGCAAGCTACACTCATCCTCCGAGCCACTTATAGTCTGATGACAGTGTGAGTAGACCTGGCAATTGCCCATTGAGATTTCGTGACAGTGAAGGCAATCTATGCTGAGAAGCGCCATGTTTGGAATCATCAACTTTCCAGCATAGTTTGGCTTCGCTGACAGGACGAAATAAATCTCTGTTGAAAACCACCAAATCGTTTCGGACTACCATCGATCAATCGTTCAGCTGTAGCACCCTTTCGGTGCCTAGCTGCCATGCCACACGAAGGAGGCACGAGGGCTGGGGATACTGCCAGGTAGCCCAAGCCCAGACAGGGGAAGCCGAACCACGGACCTTCCGGTCAGTAAGTTCGCGCTCTAACCATTTGGTCCGTCTCGCCCCAAAAATCAATCGTTCAATTACCATCGATTAACTCGTTGTCAGTTGCGAGGGAATGGTTGGACTGATCGTTGGCCAACACATGTTCAAAGGTCCATGTTTGCTTCCCTGAACTGTAGGTGAAGTAACCCTACAGTCGATAGCAATCTGGATGTCGATCGATTTGAAGGCATCGTTTACATGCCATGGAAGGCATCTTTCCTCTATTGGACGATCAGTTGCAGTCGGAGGTAACGCTCGAGTCCATATTCGTTGTTCATTGCCTCACCCAGCTCCGGTTCTGCTCCCATATCCTGTCTGACGAACGTCTCGTCGTACATCCAACAGTTGATGTCCAGCACGAACGAGAACACGCAAAAGCTCGTAGTAGACTTTGATAGCTTCCCGTCTTCGGTCTGAACTTGATATCGCAGGTGGAACTGAAGCGTAGGTTAGAGTAGGTTATTGGCTTTGTATGTGACCTCAATCGTGTTTCGTAACTTTCCGGTAATTATCGTAGCAAATGGAGTGTTGATTTAAAACTGTTCCTTCTCTACGGAGTGTTTCATGGGTCTTAGACCGCGTCGTTTTTTATGTTGAATCCTTGTGGGTAGGCATTCGTAATGAGCACTTCTTTCAGGCATTCTTCAGAGCACATTTGCGCGATTCTCCCAGTTAGACTTCGTTTTAGGTTTCGCTTCGATTGCTGTCAAAGTCCGCTCAATTTCTGCCTTCTATAAACTGTCTTCTGTGTGACGATAATAACGAGCGAATTGATGAACCTAATAATCAGGCTTCTGGCTTGTTCGTGGAGAAATTTGCAGGGATCCCACGAGGACACCGTCTCCATATTTGATTGCTAAAACTGAATTGTTCATTATAATTGCAGAGTTCTAGCAGTTGTTTGGGAGTCAGAGATACCCATGCCCATTCTAGGGCACTCTATCAAAGAGAATTGATCATTTCTTTCAGTAGCATATCAGTGAACAATGAAACTGTGTCAAGGGGAATCGTGTGCTGTAAGTAAGCACTTTAAGGCACCAGAATGTCAACAACTGCTTGCATTTGGGTTCATCCCCAAGCCATTGATATCACGACGTAGTTTGTTCTATGCTTAGTTCGGAAGTTGGTTTTATCCTTTGTGTAGATCAACCTCACCAGGCTAACAAAGCTTATGACCTAGAGACAATGTCTCCATTGAGGTATACGCAATCGAAAGGATCACGTACGTCCCTGGATTCTTTCGGTGTCAGTGTCACTGAATCGTTCAGCTGTAGCGCCTTTTCGGTGCCTAAGTGCCATGCCACCAACTACAGGGGCTCAGTTAAAGCCAATCCAAAAGTCGAAGAAGCACAAGCAATGCGAGTTTTTCGCACCCGTAGAAAGATTCATCTCACATGTGATGGACACAGTCTTCTGATGCGCAGCAACTCGCCTGGCTGACTGCTCATCTCACCATTCTTTTGAATAGGCAAGAAGATCGACAGATTTCAGTCCCCTTCTTATGCACTTACGACAGATGCATTCTCTCCAAACAGTACCTTTTCAGATAACAGATGATGAGGTTAACCGCAGTGAACTGTTTTAAATCGGTGAGCCGTCTATCAAACGGCAATCCTATGAACAAAACCTAATATAAGAATTATCCAGCAGTAGCTCCCTTTCGGTGTCAAGCTGCCATGCCACCCTAAGGTTGCACGAGGGCTGGGATACTGCCAGGTCGCCCAAGCCTAGACAGGGGATGTCGAGACGGAAAGGTCGGGTTCGAACCACGAACCTTCCGGTCAGTAATTTGGACCATCTTGTCACTGGATTCATTTTTCCTTATCCCGATTCGTCTCGCCGCAATCGGATGGAAGCATTCGATAAAATCTGGGCATTTGAGAATATTTCTATAGCTTTTCAGCATATTGAGCTTGGTTTTGTTAGACGTTTCGAATGTTGCCCAGAGTGGTCTCACTTTCGTAGCGACTGAGTGCACTGGTTGTAGAATTGATCCTATTTCTCCTGCGAATTCTCTAAAAGTATTTGGGAAACTGCTTCAAAAAAAGCGCAAATCCTTTTTCTCAATTTCAGTTTTTTGGTACGTATGAGTTTTTGGAAGATACCCCTGGAAACAAACAGCATGGTGGGTCTAGGCTCTATTCTCGGGGCTTGCTCGATGTAGCACCTTTATGCGATCAAATTTATGTGACCAGCGGGATGTACTCTGCTTCACTTCATTCGTAACACTGTATAACGTTTGTATCGTTTCACTTTATCCTTTGTTATTGTTTTTCTTCCCTATTTCCCCGACAGAATTCAAATACTTGATGCGACTAGTACGATCCCGAGACGGGAAGTGCTAGAACCTATGATTCCACTCAGCCTACTCACCCGAATTCGGTCCAAGAGGATGGACAGGCATGTAAAATGTTACCGATTGTATTGGAACCCCGTACAATTACTCCTTTTGCAGTGCAGTATTGCTCACATTCAGTCAGTTTTTGTCTTTCGCTCAACCCAGCCAACGTGAATAGTACACTGCTCACAATCAGATCGGTTTCTGCAAGTATCTTCGCGCAATTGAAAACAACTCACTCTAATCAGCGCCCGTCAGTCTTCATTCTCTCTCCATCACCTAACCAAGTTCAGTCTATTGTGATTGATTCACTTGTGTGCTGTGACCTCGTTTCCTCCTTCTTCTGAGTTCTCCACACACTATATCCATTCATCCTTCCACATTCTTCATTCATTCTTCTACGTGCACCGACTCCTTGGAGCAGGCGGTTTTTCACCTCTGTCAGCTGCTGGTGAAATGATGATGGACTGCATATATAGATATGCATGTCTCCTATGCACATAGACGCACACACACACACACTCTCCTCACTTTGCCTGCTCAACGATTTCTCACAGAATAAGAGTACCGAAGTGAACAGCGACATTCCTCAATGCGGCAGCTATCTCATTGTCCACCATGCTCTTTCAGCGGGTGCAAACAAACCAACACAAACAGGTCGTTGCTTCAGGCACATGCATACACATCTCCTGTGAGCGATGATCGCATCACCGATTAGTTTTCGTCTGATATCCCTAGAATCTTATCCACTCTTTGTTCCTCGTTTTTTTCCAATCTTACTTCTCTGACGACGCATCCACCTTCATTCGAGTTCAACCAATCCACAATCACCAGTGCGTGCCTTTGACTTTTTTTTGTGTACTTACTATAACACGATTGATCAATAAAGTTCTTTTCCAAACAGGAGGTAGTTAGCTCACCATCACAAGATGATATTCTTGTTCTTCTGAATCCTTTAATTCTGTCTTCTCTGCTCCCAACCCCCGTTCCCTCTCTGCACCATGTGCCTCTGTGTCCTCTGATGATCTATTCTTTTACACACACTCACAATCTATCCGTCATTTAGACTTCGTAATCAAGAGCATATGTGCATCTATCAAATTTCCGTCTTTGTAGTTGTGTTTTCCAGCAGCCCAATAAGATATTCCTCCAACCCCCCTCGTTGAAAACAGGTCAGCGGTCAGTGCTGCCGTATCTGCAATTTTCCATTGTTGCTATCCCGACCGGGTACGCACAAACGATAACACTCAGCCAGATCCGAACAGATCCCCGATCACATCATTCACTATTTGTCCAATTTTGAATACAAAGTTGAATTCTAATGCGGGGTTTTTCACCTTGGGTATGGCGCTCGGGCGTCCACCGACAAGTTCGATTCAGCCAAGGGTTAGAGCTACTAACAACTAATAAAAAACGGTGGAATACCCGATTCCAAGGTCCAGGTCCAGGAATCTACCTATGAGGAGCATTCGGTGCCATTTCTCTATCTCATCAAGATTCATTTATCACTGCAATCAATTTATGGATTTTGAGGTTGAAAATACAAGTTGGCCTATCCGAAAGCGAGTTCACTCACTCGTTTGACTCCATTAGCCAACTGGAAGTCGGTCCTTCAGTCTTGCACCGAACGCAGAATTTTCAACTCGGGCTGGTGAAATTGTGACATCAAAATGAACCTTCCATACCATCAGGACGAGTAAGGGACTTATCAGTATGGTATGGGATTATTAACTCGGGATCTCTTTTTTTATCCCGCAGGTTAGTCATGAAATGTAGCTGTTGTAGGCACTAAATTCGGTAAACACCGAGGAGAACGAATCTACAATCATGGTGGCCATGGGCCCGTTTTCATTCGTAACCACGAGGGATTTTAAGGCTGGCTGAAGCATAGTCAAGGTCTTGGAAGGTGAGCATGAAGTCGCCAGTGCCTTTTGTAGGCTACTGAGTGAAGATTCTGCGACCTTAGTTGTTCCGTGTACGCAGGAAGTCATATACATGCCTACTAGCACTTGACTGCGTTTGTTCTATCAGTGTATCGTTCAAATTGGCGTTTTACGCCTTGCCATGGGACTGCGAGTGATTGCGCGTTCAAAAGTCCCAAAGTTCTGCCGTACGAATACCAGCTCTCTGTTGGCTGTTTTGAGGCTGGGCAGTTGCATGCATGTCATACTGCTAAGTCCGAGCGAAGACAGTCGGAACCCAAAGAGTTTGACCTGAGGGTGAAGCACCTTGGCGGGAGTAGGTTGCATTACTGGTCACCCATAGGCTAAGGAAGAGTTACTATGTTGTCATTGGATCATATCGCCTTTTACGTGTTGTTGATGGGAGGGCCATCGGTAGGTAGGTCATTAATAAAAACCAAACTTGTGCTTAATTTGACTTGACCGTATTTCAACCAGTTTGGAATCCACGTTTCACCAGTGTTTTCCTCCAAAAACCCACCATCTGGTCGACTAAGTAGCATAGGTGCAAACTCCTTGCCTGCTGTGCACAAGAGACAGTTGTCCGTCTTCTTTTCCCTTTATACAGAAGAATTGAGGCTTGGTTTTTTACGGATTGCCTTCCGGATTCTGTGTAGCAGGGGGATATGGTTGGTTCGACTTTATGGGCCCTTAAACTGGAACGGTCCCGTGGGCAAGCAGTCTAATCCGGCTGCTACGTTGTTTGCGGTTGACTCATGATCCTCAGCAGTTTTGTGGCTGTTGGCAGGTCCGATGAGTTGTTCCGCATTGCACGTTGGGTCAGGTGGGTCATATGGTTTAAGTCAACATCTCCTTACCGGTTGAAGGATGTTGAAAAATTATGCTTGCAGTCTATCGTAATTTGCTCAGGTTTCTTAATTCATTCGCCTGGTTGTTTTCAACAACAAACAGGCATGATTCAGCTTTAGAAGTTGTGCATAAATTAACATGCCTCTGTAGTTATGCTTCCCTTCACGGTAGCGTGTCCGAAGAGGACAGTGTACTACTAGCCTCGAAAGCTCGGATCCTATTGGCCTTTGTGTGTCACTCGTGGCACCAGAATCCATATCACTGGATCTCCAGGTCATCTGAACCGAATTGCAGTACAAACAGCAAGGCGTGGTTTCTGTGGGTGGAGATTCTGAGGTATCTTCAGTTTTTTGCCCGCGTATGTCTTAGAAGTGTTGTGGGTGTCGGTGAATTCCTGACGGGGTGCTAACGAAACGGATATATGGTTGTACAACAGTGGTGTAAGGCATCCGAGCTTCACTCTGAGTTATCGTGCACACCAAACGATGCCTCTGGATCTGTGCATCTTAACCGCTGAGATCTGGGGATAACTTGCAGTGATAACCATTAATCGATACCAATTATTCCATCATGAACACACGTGAGAAAATAGTACCACCCGAGTGCATTCTCACGGACCAAACGGGGGTTCTACAATCTATTGTTAGGCATACCAATTATTCCATCAGGAACACACGTGAGAAAATAGTACCACCCGAGTGCATTCTCACGGACCAAAACGAGGGTCTACAATCTCATTGTTAGGCTAAATGGCTAGCTTTCTTCCTGATCCCGAATCTTCCACACAGCACGATCGAGATCATTTTTCTCCCTAGTTTTGATGCCTGTTCGATGATCAAAAGTAAACCAAAACAACTTCTTTCCGTGACGGGAAACTTAAAATGATGGGGTTGCCCCAAAGCAGCGTTTTCACCATCAGTGTGAGATTGCCATGTTCTCCTTTAATAGCCTTGAGAGTGTATTTGGGCTCATCAGCTTGGTCTTTGAGATCTTCGAAAAGGTACATGTAGCTCACAGCGGTTAAACTGCAACAGCAAGCGATTTGAATACCACTCAAAGTGAACTGATAGAAACTAAGACGAATAAGAGGTGACTGATTATATGACTATGCTTTATTTCAACACAGGTTCCCTACAGTTGTTGATCATTCTTCATTCTAGTACAGTTCATACTATTGTCCAGTCGGAGTGGTTTGATGTCCACTTGTATCCCTTACTCATATCATTTTCAGTTTTTTTCTGTATAGAAGACGTGCCTTCTCAGAGAGTGCATTTCCAGGATGTAGTTGCTTTTGTTGATTTTGACGGGACGCAATCTTCCAGAGAAGCATTGTATCTGGAAACTACCTGAGGTCCCTCACATTGTATTTGAAGCTCCAATGGTGCCCAGCAGTCGATCTGAAATTTTTCGAAACCTAAGGAAGATTTATTAGGGTGGCCAAATTGCATGGGAAGCAAAGTTTCAAGTCAGAAAGCAATGCATTAATTTTGTACGGTTGAAACACTGGTGAATTCAAGGTCCTCCTAATGAACGGCTTTGTGTGAGGTGGGATACTATTCATGTGGCAAATAAACGTCGTTTGTTTGACCCGTCCTTTCGGCTGTCGATTCCGACACCAGGTGATCTAATCGCATCTTTTACGAAATCTGAGTGGCGATTGCAATGCTGCCTCGATCTCCGTCCCCCAGTCAACCAGATTTTTCCTTCTCCACTAGCTGTCAGATTGCCAGATTTTCTTGGACAGAGACTCATTCGAACCTGCAGCAAGCTATTTCATGCTCCGAGCAGACCTAAATAAAGGCTTACGTGTTTATGATAGACGTTTAGAGTAGAGCGTCTGCATAATTTATTCCAGAGGATCCGAAAACATTATCTATGGGTGTTAAATAATAAATGATATCCGATTTCTTGAAATCATTCGGTTCTTGTTCTTGGTTGGGATTGGTCTTTTTCGTGTATGCCTTTCCTTTGGTATCCAAGGTGACGTTTTGAGGGTTTTCTGCGCATCGGTTTGGATTCGGTTGGAAATTTAGTGATAGGCCTTTTATGTGACGGTTTGGACCAATCAGATTGAAAAAGAGAAAATCGATAAATATCAGTAGTTCAATGGCGTTGCGCACAAATGTTTCGGTACTTTCTGGTCCATTAGGAGGATTTCAAAGGGTATGGCTCTCTTTGGACTGGAATTTTTTCGAGTGTATAGTCCCATGATTTCCTCAAATATCAAAGGTATCAATTGCTTGAACAATAAACTCTGCTTTCTACAAAACCCTGGAGTGGTAAGGTCGGTATCACCAGTCTTCAAGACATTTATTTCAAAGGATGTTCCTCATTGTATTGTACACTTTACAATCTAGATAGAAGCTCAATACAACCGACATATCAGTACTGACTAGCTGTCACTCCGTAAAATGCTTCCAGATATCTATGAATCCCACTTAGACAGATTACAACAGCCAGCGGGCTCATAAAAGCCCACCGAGTTTCACGTCTTAGTACATGTTCACCATTTAAGTGCTGCATACTAAAACTAGAGTCAGCAGATTTTAAAGAGCGTTCAAAAACCCCGTCGCATCTGTTTGAGTGCGTGATGAAAGCTGACTGTGATGGACTTTCACCTTCCACATACAGGAAGGCTACTTTTTCAGCGGTTTTTGCTCAACTCTCATTGATGACGACCTCAACTTCTCTGGGATTGACGATCGATCGAGTATCAAGGGTAAGTCTTAACTGGCGTCACTATGAAGAAAAACGCTAGTTTGGGAATAATCTGAGGAGGCTGTGAATAGGTTTTGTTCCTCTGTTAAATGATGCACATCAAGTCCGGCACAAGACCAGTCAAAGTCTAAATTACTCTCAATTGCACACAAATTTAGTTTATGCACGGACCCGAATGAATCCGGCTTGATCTATCGTTCACGTTGATCTTGAAGCGGCTTGATACAGCACATTCTGTCTAAGCAGACTATCGTAAGGGATAAATCCAGCTGGATTCAACCCGGTCTCCTAAGAAAAAACAAATTGATATTGTGTTGGGATATTGGTAGCTCGGGTGTATTGGTTGGTAATTGATCAGGTGAATGTTGATCTGTTCGCCGAGCTTGGCAAATGATTTGCAAACGTTTCGTCACCATTCGAGGAGACATCTTCAGTGCGCTGTTTGTTTGGTAGTTCCTCTCTTCGTGCCTGCGGTTATATAGTCTACAAAGAGCAGCCTTTGTGCTGTAACCTGGATCCTGATTGGCCCGTTCTTGATCCGTTTTGCGTCGTGGTCGGCTTCTCTGTTGGTTTGTGGCTTGCCTCTTATTTTTAGTAGCTT